ATTCTAAGGAGAAAGGAAAAATTATTGAAGAGAAAGGAAAAACTATTAAAGAGAAAATTTTTCCAGAAGCAGGGGGAGCTTACACCCCCCCTTTAGCCATGGCACTGGCGCTCTGACTGTAGGCTACGCACCGTCAAAACTGGCGAAGTAGGTTCTGTGTGGAGAACACATGTCAAGATCGCAGTTGAAACATGTTCTTTTGACAAAATGGTCCAATAGGAAAAAAGAACACACTTCGAGTATGCCAAACTTGCATTGAGGCATGGTTAGAACACACTTCAAGGATTTGCGGATGAAGCATGTTCTAACCATGCTCCAATGCAAGTCTGGCATACTCGAAGAGTGTTCTTTTTTCCTATTGGACCATTTTGTCAAAAGAACATGTTTCAACTGCGATCTTGACATGTTTGACGTGAATTCTCCACACAGAACCTACTTCGCCAGTTTTGACAGTGCAGACTGTGAAGCAGCAAATTAATGAAGGCTTATCTGGACCTAAAAACTGTCGTTATACTTTCTCACTGACTTGGCAGAAACCAATCAGAAAAGATGATAATTTAGCGACAAAACGTAATCAAACTTCCCATTGCAGACAAATTTCTCTGTTTTGATTGATCGATTTTTCTACGAACAAGATTTCAAAACATTCATCAATCAAAGTTGTTCTTCTGTTTTATTTGTGTGACGGCGGCCATTTTTTACGGGAAAAAGTAACGGCTAGCGGAAAACAAACTATTATCATGACTGTTTGCATCCATTTTTCGTAGGTAACATGTAACAAGGGATGGTAGCCACACATTTTTCTTCGTCAGAAAATAAGGGAATTAAAAGATTATTTTGCTTACACTACTTTTCGACAGTTTGTAACCGCAAAGAAGTACGAAGAGGAAAAACGTTTTGGCCTAGTTTCTCCTATTATAATATACTATTGAAGTGAGCGATTAGAATGTAAATAAAAGTTAATGAGTTAATATTTAAATCGTTCTTCGCTCGATACGGTTGCGACCATTAAAGCACAGTGTGATGTCGATTCTATTAAAGTGTATAGGTCTCTGCTTTTAGATCTGCAAGTTTAAATATAAAGTCATAATATTCGTTTGATATGGCTGACAATATAAAGGTATCAACAGTACAAGGTGAAAAACGCGACATAGATGATGATGATGATGATACTGCCGATACTAAAGAATCAACAGATAACAGAAAGAAGAAAACTGATCTTGGAGGTTTTATTAAAATTTTTGTACGAGGTACTTTATTTGAAATGGCGAGAACAACAATACGTCGTTCACCATTTTTGTGGCGATTGATCAACGATCAACCAAATTCAGAAGATGGATTTCACCATACTGATCGTGATCCAAAGAAATTCGAATGTTTAATGAATTATTTATCAGAAAATTGTGTACCAGATATTTTACCATGCAGTGTTCGAGAGTTATATAATGAAGCATTATTCTATGGTATTGATTTACCTGAGAATGATTGTTGGGGAACAACATTATCGTACACTTTAAAGAATATTAATACGTATGACATTCGTGGTCAATTGAAATCCTTTGCCTATAAACACGGCATTTTTGGTTGGGTTGAGTGGAGACAACGTGTTTCACTTGTTAATGAATTCCATTGCCATCGAACAATCGATTTAAATGTTGTTAACGAATACATGCTCGATCAGGCTTCAAAACAAATATTTATGATACAATCAAAAAGTCAAAGAGATGAAAGACTTTCACCTGCTCCTCTCTTTCAATGTCCAAAAACACGTAAGCATCATAAAGAAATAAAAACTTTAAAGAACAAGTTAGACCACTGATCAAGAGAAAAAGGACTCTGTCGGATTTAAAGTACCCCTTGGAGAGAAAAACCGACTACAGGATTTTGTAGAGAATTTTTTTCTGCGTCGACTGATATATAACTTAGGCTCCACCAGTTTCGTTTTGTGGATATTTAGGGCATATATCTGCGTTTGGCTACTATACGGCCTTATTCCAATAGAGTCTCAATAAGTGAGAAATATGTTTGAGGAAGAATTTCTTATCTATCTAGTTTTGTAGAGCAAAGCCTGTGCTACAGAACTCTATGTCGGATGCCTTCCATCGGGGCACTTTCAATGGGGGGTCATGACCGATTTTTCTTGGCACCATCACTTTGTGGTCCAAGTCGATGTCAGTGTACCAAGCGCCATTTTTCAACCCACTGCGGTACCAACGCCAAACTTTGTCAGAAATTGCGCCTAGCTAACTTCTATCATATACCAAAATTTCAACTTCAAAATCGAAGGGTGCCATACTCAAACACGTCGAATACTGCGCCAGATCCTACCTTATTGAAGTCCTTTCCGGACCCTATCGACCTTATATTTTTACCAAATGATCTCAGATTGAAAATCTGCTTTCGGATTCTTGTTCAGCGTCAAAAACTGAGTCGAGTAGGGTATATTAGAAGTTTTCAGAGTGTATCATGGTTAGCTTTAATTGCGAAGCTGGATCATACAGTCGACTCTAAACTTCGACCTTCTAAGCTCAATAGGATGCTTATTTTGCTAATCTAAATACGCCGTTTCGTAGTGCTCATCAAGGGCTACAAGATGCACTATTCAAGTTTTGATTTTGAGTGAGTTCAGATACCAAAATTGGCTCCTTAATTAAGAGACACCATGAATACGTAAATGTCAGAAAGTTCCAATATGTATATCTCTTCAAAATCTCGTCCGATCATTCTGAAAATTTTAACACAGACACAGTTTTCGCCGCTCTTTCTACTAGCAGCCTCAAAATCATAAAATAATATGGTTCAGTATGTAAGGTTTTCTAGAGACCCACTGGAAAACCGATAATTTCGAGGCAATCACTTTTCGATTTTGAATATCAGATAGTGTAGCCCACATAAAGTTGTATCTATCCTGAAATTTTCTGCCTCCAGCGTCTTCATGGTAACGAGATAGATACATATCAAATCATCATAAATCATTGA